CGGAATGGAGGCTGGACGAAGAGTTGTTTAATTTCATTTTTTATCCGTCAGGACAAAGTGTTCTAGAATCATATGTTTTGCAGGATATGGGCACTTCGTAGTTAAGCTAATATCAACAAGTCGATTAAAATCAACATAAAAAAGAAGATCCTGAATAAGAGGAAGGCGTATTGGAAAATAAGCAAGAATTATCTTTGGCTGCTAGATAGAATTGGTGAAAGAGGGACCGAAATAACCTCAAAGTAGAAAGATAAGTCTCGACTAAACAGTAATTTGATTTGGGGCTCAAAATTGCCAACTAATTCGTAGGTATTGCATACATTCAACGCTCACTCACCCACGAAACTAAAACCATTCCCATTATTACAGGATCATACGCTAGCTTTTTTACATAAACAAAAGTTGTGACCAAATCAGTTCCCCTTCATGCATCAACTTCATTCGCATACATTCATGTAGGACAAACATAAAGGAGGCAAACAAATTTTTCGTACAAGTAGAGTTTCGAGACTACCAGTTAATCAGTAATATAAGATGTATTCACCCTATTTCGTTTAAGATGATGAAGGACTGGTAATAGATTTTTTCCACAATGATATAAGCATAGCTGGGGATGTTGATAAGATCTATATGGGGTCAAAACTACAGCCCGCCGTGGATGAGAACAACTTTTGGCGAAGCAAGGCTATGTGAAATTCAATGGAAATATCAGCCCTACTCATAGCATTGTGGGAAAATTCTATTACCATCCTTCATCATCTTAAACGATATAGGGTGAATACATATCATATGACAAAATTTTTCCTTCATATGTAGGGTCTTGAGACTACCAGTAATTCATATAAATGAGATGTATTCACCCTATCTCGTTTAACGTGATGAAGGACTGGTAATTGCAACGATATGGGTAAAGATAACTTTCCATTGAATGTTACATAGCTTTACTTTCCCAAAAGGTTTTCTGATCCAGGGTAGACTGCCGTTTCGACCTCGCCTAGGTCTTATTAACACTACCCGCGGTGGTCACACCAGTCCTTTCTCACCTTAAACGAAATAGAGTAAATGCAACTAATATAACTGATTAATTGGTGCTCTATGGACCCTACTTATACACGAAAAATAAGTAGCGCAGTCGATTATCATAGCAAATATATCATTGATTTATCTACAATCCCCCCAACGAGTGGTCCGGCCTTCCTTGAAATTCACATCTGCCCTGTGATCCCAGAGAACTCGTGTTAGTGTAGCGTATTGGTTAATGTTGCATACAGCACTTTAATGCTTCATGGTGTTGAAAAGACTTAGGCTAGGTCGAAACTGCAGTCAACTTCAGCTTGGATGAGAACAATTTTTAAGAAAGCAAATGTGAAATTCAATGGAAACGTCAGATATGCTCTTATCGTGGTGGTAAAATTCAATTACTAGTCCTTCTTCACCTTAACGAAATAGGGTGATTACACCTCATATAAAGAATTATGGAATTTCTCATTATGATCCAAAGGTGAGAGTTTTAGTCGGCTACCTTTCTTCGTTTAGTATCTTTGGTAATTGTTCGTAAATAATGATTTCTAGCTCTGACGATGTCCGTTAAATAACGAATGAATTTCCAACACGGAGTCATCAGGGTCGCAAGACGGTGAGCTGAGGTCTTCCCTGCACAATTCAACAGTCAAAAATTCAAGGTAACCCTCCTTTGCTATCCACTGAGGCCAAGTTACGAATCCCTTCCACCTGCCCTCTCAAATAAAATGAAAGATATGCTATTATCAATCTATATAGGGATCCTTCGAAACAGATTTTTTTCCCTCTAATTTTCATCCAGGATGCTCCGCAATTTTTAATTCACATCAATTTTATTACCACCCCTAAATGGATTAGAGATCAGGTCGTGCGCATCAAGTGAAAACATGTTATCACCCCGCTACAGCAGAGAGGAAGATTGTATTGTCAAGTTGAGCCAAGACTCTCCCGAATCAAATAATTTAGTGTGATTGTCAGTGAGGCAAACTTATACTTGCCATCAATACATACTGTATGTATTCTGTGTGATAAAGTTCGTATTCGGGAGTTTAGCTAAATTTAGCAACGAGTTATTTTTCCATGCAAACTATGACTATTATGCTTTAGGCTCAGTTTAGAGAAACCCCAGTTGTTGGAACTAGAAATTGTTTATCTAGTTAGCCCTACGACCGCAATACTGTGTCTCCTGTGGGCCAATCATAGAAACTCGGTATCCCAAACAAAGAGATAGACTAAGCGTGGTATATTGCCGTAATAATCACTACCTTATTCTGGAGCCCTTCGCGCCAAACTTGGAGGCCCAGTGAACCGATAACGCATCCATTGGATGCGAACGCACTTCAAGACCGCCTGCCTCCAGGCCATTTGTACCCTAGTTTCTGGGGCGGTTCATGTTGATGGGTGGTTGAAACATGCAACCTAGCCTGCTGTCCCGCCATTCAGCCACTTGTCGATGTGTGTGTGATCACTCGTGTTTACGTGAACACTATCCAGTTGATGTGCGAGATTGCGCAAAACTTCCTAAGTGGGCTTGACGAAGTAAGAGTTGTGTGCAAAAGGCGTTTGTTTGGAAAGGCCTTAAATCTTCAATAAACTATGGCAAAAGGATTGGCAGGAGGGCAGATGGACACGGAAACTTGTAGGTCTTGCATCATAATCCCACAATGCAAACTCACAGATCGCTTTAAAACCGGGCCTTTATTGCCCTCCTTCGAAGTGCACACTCAAGACGCCCATGCTGAATGAGGGGTTGTGGTTAATTCGCATGCGAGTGATGCGGCTCGTTGATGCGATCTCATTCGAGGGAACTTACTAGCTTCGCGCCTACGGGAGCAGGCAAGAGAGGCCCTGTGAGACAAATAATCTGTCACCAAGCCTCAGTTTGGGCACCACTTGAGAGGACATAGATCACGTGCAAGAAGGACCGCAAGAGCGAAGAAGACGGCCTCCAAGAAGAAGCCAACACTTCTGCTCTGGGTTGGAGATTGCGGCATACACTTGGCCCGTTCGTGTTGGATTGCCCGGGCTTTTGTTCACAAAAGTAGAGGCACTCTATGACAGAAATGACGATGACCAATCCAATGACAGTTGCTGGATTAGATGAGCAGATAAGGACCAGCACTGTTAGCCCCTCATCTAAAGTGAACAAATGAAGCGACAAAAACAAAAGCCATGGTGACAAATAACGGAAAATTACGGCGAGTAGAGAAATGTTTAAGCCGGAGTGTCAAAATTAAGAATACCTTCGAGATCATCGCAAAGGCGACTAGTTCAGAATAAGCATAATTGTTCTCCAGTATCAAAATAAAAAAACAACAAGATTATACAAATTGAAGATATGAAGACCAAGATGGTGTGGCCTCTGGTATGGTCGCAGTCTTCTTTCGATTTATAGAAGTTGTCGCTATTTGGTCTTGTTGTCAGGGCGACTTAGTAGAACACACCTAGTCCGAAGTCGTCTGCCATAGTAGTTGTCATAATTCCCAGCATCGAACGTACTAAGTCCACTGTTTGATGCTGGGAATTATGACAACTACTATGGCAGACGACTTCGGACTAGGTGTGTTCTACTAAGTCGCCCT